CTGCACTACAGTCTGGGCGACAGAGTGAGACTCCAACTCAAAAAAAAAAAAAAAATACAGTAAAATTCTCAGGCACAAAAGAAAAAAAAAATCAAAGTTAGCAAATTTGGTTATCTCATATGATAATAAGGAAAAACAAATTTCAAGAGTCACATCAAAAAAAGTACATGTTGAGGATATTAAAAAGGCACCTTGACAAAAGTATCCCCGATAATTTTTCTTTTCTCTTCAGGACTTGTAGTCATATTTAATGTTTTGCTAATTCTTTTCCGTGGGGTCCTGTCTTCATCTGATATTGGTAGAGTTGTTGTTCCATTGTAGAAAGAATGAGCAGCATTGATCACTGGGGGAGAGGGGAGAAATGTTTTAAACTAAGAGAAGATTTTTTTTTAATCACAAGTCAAATTACAGAAAGAAAAACTAGATGGATCCTTTGATCTTCCCTAAGTTTGTCTATACATATCAATAAGTTATATTAATATTCAATTACTGGCAATAAAAAACAGAGCTCTGATATGGGCACTCGTTAATTTTTGTTTCTGAGAGAATCCCACGGCATTTAACAATCTAGGGCCATGATTTCACAAAGTATGCTAGTTGTCTTCCCTCCATTCAGTGCTCTACCAGGGCAACCAGTAAAAGCCACAGCAAAAAGCACAGTCCCCAGGGAGTCAAAAGCAGTGGTTCATGTACAGAGAGTCAAAGTCCTTGAAACTGCACACTGAGTAGTCTCTTGTAAAACTGATTATTTGTGAACATATGTTAACAATCCTTGGCTGTTCTCTTATAGTTGATAGAAAGGAACTAAAAACTAAGATGTCTAATTGGTAGTAATGCTTAACTACTGGTGACCTTCACCCATAAGATGACAAGTGAGCTGGTTATTCCATTGTGGAGTAGCCAGTGATTTGGAGGTCTTTCCTTACCCTGGTCAATTTCCAGAGAAGACATCTGCCCCCACTACAATAAGCCTTTCTGTTTCCAAAATAATCTGTATATCCATACTTGTTGTAGAAGGGTTTGGATAGTCTCATGCATAATTAATATTATGAAATCAGGTAAGAAAAGAAATTTGAAAAAGAGGGAATAACTAGAAGAGAACAGAATGGAAGCTAGAAAATGGTACCATAACAATCTAAGTTTTATATATGTAGTAATCAATAGTTTTAAAATGTATACTGGCATCTCTCCTGAATCAGAAGTAATTATAATGTAAAAATAAAAAACATTTTCAATCCTGAGCTTATAAGAAAAACTGTAACTGTGCTCATTTAAACCATTAGGTTGGATATGATTCGACAAGTCCTGACTTATGTATGTTAACTTTTCTGGGATTTATCAATACCTTTGACCTGAATTCCAAGCTTTTTGAGGGCCTCTTCGACAGACTGGCTTTCTCGTTTTCTCATAAAGCCATTATCAATGTGTACAGCAATGACTTGATCTTGGTTCAGAGCACGATTTAGCAAAGCTGTACAAACTGTTGAGTCTACTCCACCACTGAGCAAAACCTACAAGGTAATATGAAAAGAAAAACCAAACTGAGCAGAATAAGCACCTTCAGTTTAAATCACTACCTAGAAGCACTGTTTGCATCAAAGTTATGTTCGTAACTGAAAAACACTCTGAAACAGTACAGCACTTGAGGCTTCTGTTCATCCAGTCAACATTTAAGAGCCACGTTGATGACTCCAGCTCTGGATTCCAACATTAGTATAAATCTGTAGACTTTCAGATGAACATTGCTTACCAAAACTTTTGATGTGCCTACTCGTTCTTTGATCTCTCGTATGCATTCCAGTTCTCTATTCTGTACAGTGAAGGTCCCAGTGCACCCAGCTATATCATAAAGGAAGTTCTTCAGTATCACTTTTCCATTTTCTGTAAGGCCAACTTCAGGGTGGAACTGTGCTCCATATAATTTTTTAGATTCATTTGCTATACCTTTATAGAGAAAATAATAAATTAAATTTTTCCTGTTGAAAAGGCTCAACCAACACCCACAATTAATTCCTCACAATTTCTTCCCATATAAGTGTTAAAATTTATAGGGCTTAGTGGATTGTTAACTATAGGAACAGAAAATACATAACACAAATAAAAACTACACTGCCACCGTTCTTTTCTTTTCTTTTTTTTTTTTTTTTGAGTTAGAGTCTCACTCGGTCGCCCAGACTGGAGTGCAGTGGCCGCTACCGGCCACCGCAGCCTCGCCTGCTGGGCTCCAGGATCCTTCCGCCTCAGCCTTCCGAGTAGCCGGAATTACAGGCATGTGCTACAACGCCCGGCTGATTTTTTAATTTATTGTAGAGATGAGGTCTCGCTGCCCAGGCGGGTCTCGAACCCGTGGGCTCAGGCAATCCACTCATCCCAGCCTCCCAAAGGCGCAGGATTACAGGCTGAGCCACCAAGCCCGGCGCCACCGTTCTTTATAAAGATCTTTCTTGATACGGCAACTAATAAGCTACAGGACAAGTACAGCAAGCCCTATACAAATTAACTCGCAGTACTTGCACACTCCCACCAGAGTTACTGCAATCGTCTTGTCCATTTAGTACAATGGTAACTCAGTTTTGGTTCTTGGTCCTACAAGGCTTTCAAATGTAACGTACAGTTAGCTACCAAGGTCCTATATTTAAAGGATCTCATATATCAGACTTATTAAAATATTCTAAGTGTTTCCTTCTTGGATACCATCCACAAATATAACTTTATCTACATGATTAATATGTTTCTGACAAGTATCATCTATTCAGCAACAGATATTAGGCTAGATGTTTTACATGTGCAGGCATTACCCCTACATTATAGTATTGAGATATCAAGAAACATTTCGGATATCGTGGCTTATTAAGTAACTAAATTAGACCTTGTAGGCTCCCAAACTCATACACAGTATACTATACCAGGATACCTCACATTTTATTTGGCATCCAAAATACCACTCTCTCGGTTCACTTCTTATTTCTCTGTCTGTTTCTTCTAAATCTTCTTTGCTGGCTCTTCCTCTTCTTGCCCATCTCTACACACTGAAGTCTTTTAGTTCTCTGTCCTTAAATCTCTTCTCTACACGTTCTGAGTGACCTCACACTCTCCTTACCTCAAAATTCCACCCAAATAGTGGTAAACCCCAAATTTATACCTCCAGCTCAGTTTTTTCCTCTAAAGTCTGGGCTCATATAAACAACTGCCCACTCATACCTTCACTTCAGTGTTTAATAAAACATCTTGACTTTAACATGCAAACCCAAATTCCTGAGGTCTTTCCCATCAGATAAACAGAAACTTCACCCTCTGGTTCCTCAAGCCAAAAAGCTTTAGAATGAAAACTCCATTCTACTCTCTTCTCCACTCTGTATCCAATCAACAGTAAATCCTTTGTCTCTTCCTTCAAAATATATCAGAATCCAGTCACTCCTGACAACTCCCACTTCTACCACCCTGATCCGGACGTACACTGTCTGTCTCCTGATTGCTACAATAGGTTCTTAGCTCATCTTCCTGTTTCTATCTTTGACCCCATCTCTTTTCTTCTGTCTCACGTAGCCTAATGCTGAAATGAGATCATGTGTATGTGTCTCCTTTGTCCAAAACCGCACTTCACTATGAGAAAAGTCAAAGTTTTGCCGCAGCTCAAAGTCCCTGTGTTCTGGCCGCCAACTACCTCTCTAACTTTGTCTCTATCACTCCCCCACCCCATGTTCACTCTGCTCTAACCAGGTAGTCTCCTTACTGCTCCTCAGTATGGTGCCTAGTGCCTAGTATGATGTTTTGCAGACATCCAAGACACATGATTATACATGCCTAAGAAAGGCATAAAAAACAGGTAACTACTTTCACTCATTCCAGGATCTGTACTGCTATTTCCTCTTTCCCCAGATATAGAGGTCAACATTTACTGTCTTCAGACCCAATGTCATCTTACATGAATACTATTCCTAAATATCCTATATAAAATAGTAATAACTCTATTTAGACATATTCTGTAACACCCTTTCCAAACCCCGCTACTTACTCTTTAAATGTAAACACTATCTGACATTCTGTATTTGTGAATTGTCTACCTTCACATTGCCCGATACTAAACAAGGACTCTGTCTGGTTTATTCATGACTATATTCTTGAATCATGCCTGACACATAATAGGTATGCAAATATTTGTTGAATAAATAAAAATACATAAGCCTGTCTATCACTAATGATAAGTGAGTACAAACTTGTCGGTATAAAAACCATGCTTGACCATTCCTGTGCTAATGTATTAGTCTGTCAAGTAACTGCAGGTAGATTACTTAATTGAGTCCATCTATGACAAAATTTTTTTTCAACTTACTATTTAGGTGCGGCATCACAAACAAAAAAAATTTTATTGATAAACCCACTTTTTTCTATCACTGATTTCCAGGAGTGTTAATGACTATTTACATTAGTTATTCAAGCAAGCAAGCAAGTCAAAACCCCAAACTGCTAGAAAATCAATTCCTCTTCCTCAAAAAAGTAGAGAACAAAATGGTTTAAAGCAGGGATAGCAAACCCTCTGCAAAAGGTTAATAAATACTTTACGGGATATATATAGGACCCGTGTTTTATTGTAACCTTTTAATAATGTAAAAACCATTTTTAGCTCCTGGACATACAAAGTAAGCAACAGGCTGAATTTGACCTTCAGGCCAGCTGCCAACCATAGTTAAGAGAAATGTCCTGAGTGCCTAGTCTGATGTTTTGCAGGCATCCAAGACACATGATTATACATACCTAAGAAAGGCATAAAGAACAGGTAACTACAAATATAGCATGGTAGGAAAATGAACAGTTCTTAAATTTTTCCTGAGTTATAAAAGTATAGTGCTTTATGTATGAAAAGTTTATATTAGAATGAAGCATTTTAAAAAGCATTTCAGGCTGGGTGCAGTGACTCATGCATTTAATCATAGCACTTTGGGAGGCTGAGGCAAGAGAATTGCTTGAATCCAGGAGTTTACGACCCCATCTCTACAAAAAAAAACATCAAACAAATTAGCTAGGTTTGGTGGCATGTGCCTGTAATCCCAGCTACTCAGGAAGCTACTTGGGAGGCTGAGGTGGAAGGATCACCTGAGCTCAAGAAGTTGAGGCTGCGATGAGCCATGATTGTGCCACCACATACCAGCCTGGGTGACAGTTTGACTCTGACTCAAAAAAAGCACTTCAAAGGAAACCAGTAAGTAAATGGCTTCTGGATAATCCTTCTAATACTAAATTATTTTAATTAATTAACAGTTGATCCTACCACATTTACAATATCTTTGAAAAATAACAAAAATCAGTAGGGCACAGTGGCTCACGCCTGTAATCCCACCATTTTGGGAGGCGGAAATGAGAGGACTGCATGAGCTCAGGAGTTCAACACCAGCCTAGGCAACTTGGGTAGACCTCATCTCTACAATAAATCAAAAAATCAGCCAGGTGTGGTGGTCATGCCTGTAGTTTCAGCTACTTGGAAGGCTGAGGAGGAAGGATCACCTGAGACTAGCAGGTTGAGGCTGCAGTGGCCATGAGTGTGCCACTGCACTCTAGCCTGGGTGATAGAGTGAGACTCTGACTCAAAAAAAAAAATCAAAGAGTATCTCATACAAAAACAAAAAAATATGCTTACTTTTCAAATAAAGTTTTTTAAAATCAAATCTGTGAAATTTTTAAAATTTTCACCTGCTACGATGTTCCCGGAACGTGCCACAACCTTGAATCCATCAGCTACTTTGTCTACACTATCTCCATGTGTAAGCAAAACAATTTCTTCCTTCTGAAGGCCCCTAAACATGCAAAAAATAAAACACAACACAAATACCTTAATTAAAAACATGATTAATAGGTTCTTTTGCTTTAGAAATACAAGCTTGCCATACATGATCAAGAAAACAGGAAAAAATGTGTCACAGTGCAACACTGCTATAATCTGAATATGCTAATATTCTGTCCATTGTAAATGAAGCCAATAAAATATAAAATCTCAAAAAAGGCAAACTACAAAAATTGAAAACTGAAACAAATAAATATACGAAACTGGCAGTACAACTATACATACACACAAGAATAATTTTGAAAGACTATAAAACAATAATTTCAATATTATTATCTCCATTGGGATTTATCATGAAGACACAGACATCTCAAACACATCTGATTAACAATTCAATCAGCAGTCCGTAGTAATAGCATTAGTACTAATATCGTTATTCTGCAGCTATATGTACTGTATAAATATATGCGTATCGTAGGCTAAAACAGTAATGTAATTAGCAATTGAGATTTTCAGCTTAAGAATAAGGAGATACAAAAGGAGACACAAAATAAAATAGGCCAGGTAAACACCCCATAATCTTTCATTTCAATTGGAAATAGCACTAATGATTCGTTTTGTCTTTCTAAAGCAGGTACTATTTAACTTTGTTCACAGAAAAGTCCTAGAACAGTAACAACCCAGTACCAATGTGGACCTCTAGTGCCAAACAAATTAATAACACTTAGCGAAGGGATTAAGAAAAACAAGTAATACTAATCAAATGTACTGTGTGAACTTCCTGTAGACCCTGATTCAAATAAATCAATCATAAAAAGGTACTATTTACATCATGGGAAAATCCAAACAAGAATTTAGTATTAAATATTAAGGGATAAAATATAAATTAAAACAAAGCATATTAATGCCAAAATGATGTTTTCGGGTTTTGTTGTTGTCATCATTGTTGTTTAGGTATACATGGAATCCCAGAATTTTAGAACTAAAGACAGACCTTATGTTTAGCGCCTCTTGTGGTCTATTTCATCCAAGGGTCCCTAAGCTGTTCTCAAGACTAGACACTGGAACTCAGGCTGAACGCAAGCACCCATAGCACTCCATTAGGGTGTGGAGCAAGCATGGATTTCAAACCCATTTTCGCAATGAGAAGCTTCAGTTTATAAAATTATTTTGAGCAACCCTGGTGTTTTTTATTAACCTTCCTTTGAAAAAGAACCTTTAAAAACAGATCATCTCCTTGTTTTGCCCTTTGTCAATATCAATGAAGAACCAGGCTGCATCAGTTTTGTGTAAAAACTAGAATTATATCTCCATTTCAGATTTTTTAAAAGTTCATGACTTGAATTTTAGAAGTTCTGAACTGTCCAGTTTGGAGTAAACTACTATGTATTAATTTAGTCACAAATCAATGGAGACCTTAAGAATACATGTTAATAAACCTATTAACTAAAAATAATTAGCACAGTTAAAAGAGTGAGAATAAAAAGTAACTGTGTATTCATTAACTGACACCACCTAGCATTTTACAATTGCATTTCTCTTAATGCAATTAAGAGAAAATATAGTTTTAAAATAAAAATAAAATTTTGATCAAAATAAAGGAACTGAGTAACTCTACCAATAGTCCACCAAATGAGCTTTACAACAAAGCACGGAAAACCCTCTCCAAAAGAAAACAAGTGACTCAAACATAAGCTTTCTGGTCTTTGAGAAAACAATAAAAAACTTTGACTTTTTTTTGCAAGGCAGAGGTAAATGATTCTAGGAAGCTAGTGAACAGTTCATCTGTTGGTTTTTAAATAGATTAGAGTTATAGCATCTTTACTAGCAAGCAATTAAATCAAATAATGCAGTCATTGCATTAAAAAAAGATAATACAGCCGGGCTCGGTGGCTCAGCCTGTAATCCCGCGCCTTTGGGAGGCTGAGGTGAGTGGATTGCCTGAGTCCGCGGGTTCGAGACCCACCTGGGCAGCGAGAACTCATCTCTACAATCAATCAAAAATCAGCCGGGTGTGGTAGCGCATGCCTGTAATTCCGGCTACTCGGAAGGCTGAGGCGGAAGGATGACCAGAGCCCAGCAGGCGAGGCTGCGGTGGCCGGAAGCGGCCACTGCACTCCAGTCTGGGCGACTGAGTGAGACTCCAACTCAAAAAAAAAAAAAAGATAATACACCAAGCTCCAGTTTTGCCTAAACATAGAGAAGGTGAGGAGCGAAATAAAACACATCCTTAGGATTAAGTACAGCAAGCAGATGACTTGTGAAGAGCCCAGCAAGAAAGTTGGGGGAGAGGTATGCACAAGCATGTAGTCAGCACAGAACCGTTTAAAACGTTATCCATTTGTCACACCTGGAACACCATATATAGACTCACACTCAAAAGAGTGAAAAGGAAAAAGTTACCAATGCTGGCACCAAAAGACACAGTTCCAAATAGGGTTCCCCAACTGCACAGGTGTTCTCAAGCTTCCCAAGGGTCTCCCTGATTCCCTCCGAGCATCACTATCATCCTCACCATTCTCTGCTACCTTGACGCTCAAATGGAGGCAAACAGGACTATTACACTTGTGGCCACTACCATAACCTTAATTTTGTTGATGAATTCGTCCTCCAATTTTGACGACTAACAGTATCAACTTTAAAGGAATTAATGTACTATAGTTCTTATTCATCTGAAAAGGTAATACCTGAATAATGAACAGGTGTTATCCACACTGATGTTGAAGACTCCATCTTCTCTAACATTTTTTTTGTGCACAGTACCGCCAAATACCTTATTCATCATCTGTTCAAAGAGAAAATAAACTGATGGTAACAGAAATCAAAAGAAAAATATCCAGTCATTCTGGTTTATACTGATTTAATAATTTATATTTGTAAAATATAAATTTGAATTTGTATAAAATTTTCTTGCCACTGTACGCTTTATGTTGGCAGCACTATACAAACAACTCAGTAAGGTTTCACAACCTTGGTATAGCAGTGTCTCTCAGCTGTATTCATGTTGACATGTGGTGGTATCTTGCCGAGTGGAGTTCATTACTGTTGTTGCATGTTTTTGTGTGCAATCGCGAGAATGTTGGAGCTTGAATTAGAGCAATGGACAAACATTAAATATCTTGTTAAACTTGGCAAGAGTGGATGTGAAATCAGAGGGGGACATGTTACCCAAGTTTATGGGGATAATGCCATAAACAAACAACAGTGTAAAAATGGATTAAACACTTTTCTGAGGGGAAAAGCATCACTGATGAAGAAAAGTCAGGATGGCCAGTAACAAGTTTCGCAGAACTGATGAAAACATCGCAAAATTTGTCAAATTGTGGGTCAAAATCATCAGTTGACTGTGAGAAACATGGCAGACCAAATAAACATCAACAGAGAAATAGTTAGGAAAGTCTTAACTGAAAATCTTGGCATGAGAAAGGTATGTACAAAAACAGTCCCAAAAGAACTCCTGCCTCATGACAATGCACCAGCTCACACAGCACTGCCTGTGAGGGAGTTTTTAGCCAGTAAACACAATGCACCAGCTCACACAGCACTGCCTGTGAGGGAGTTTTTAGCCAGTAAACAAATGACTATTGGGATAACCTCCCTACTCACCTGATCTGGCCCCCGAAGATAAAGGCAATATGGAAAGGAAGACATTTTGATGACATTCAGGACATCAAGGGTAATATAATGACAGGTCTGATGGCCATCCCAGAAAGAGTTCCAAAGCTGTTTTAATGGGTGGACTAGGCACTGGTGTCAGTGCATAGCTTCCCAAGAGGAGTATTATGTAGGTGATCATATTAATATTCATTATGAGGTATATAGCACTTTTTCTAGGATGAGTTCGTGAACTTAATTGCCAAACCTCAAACATATAACTTTAATTTTGTTTATGAATTCTAAAAGCTCTAATTTTGATTAATACAGTAACAACTTTAAATGAGTTAATCTACTACTAAAATATTGCCCAGGCTAGTATCAAACTCCTAGGTTCAAGAGATCTTCCCACCTAGGCCTCCCAAAGTGCTGGGATTACAGGCATGTGCCACACCATCTGACCCCATAACAGGAATTTAGGCAGGTACAAATTCTTCCAAGCTATTTAATCTGTGACTCCAAGGGAACAAGTCTGAAAGCTTACAGAAGGCTATGCTGTAGAGACAGGATAAGCAAAAAAATCTGGCTTTTCAATTAAACTCATCTATTCAAATGCCATAGGCCTATAGAATTCAATTCGGCCCCTCCTGTGTTAATCTTTTCTTATTTATCATTTACATGCCCAAAATCCCACACACCAGATAAACACACACAAGATTTTTGCAAACATTAAATTTGTACTGATATAATCACTCCAATTCATCACAGTACATCTGTTCCACAACAGGTGCCATAAGATATCTGCCATCACAATGCACAGTACAGGATGACCCAGTCCCTGACAGAAAGGTAGACAGAGGACTAAATAAATACTCATTCTTATAATTCAAAGTAGCATATTCCAACTCATTAGCAAATGCTGCCCTCTACATTCTCCTCTTAGATATTCACCATAAAAAGGTTTGGGTAAAGTCTAGTAGCAAAGAAACTTGCTAGCATTTGTTTAACCGAATAGTTCCCAAACTAAAGACTCAGGGCTGGGTGCTCACATTTGTAATTCCAACACTCTAGGACAACGAAGCAAGAAAACTGCTTGAGTTCAAGACCAGCCTAGGCAACACAGCAAGATTTCGTCTCTACAAAAAAGTACAAAAATCAGCCAGGCATGGTGGCACATGCCTGCAGTCCCAGCTACCTTGGAGGCTGAAGTGGAAGAATCACCTGAACTCGGGAGGTTGAGGCTGCAGTGAGCTATAAGCATGCCACTGCACTCTAGCATGGGCAACAGAGTTGAGACTCCAACTCTAAAAAAAAAAAGACTTAAGACCCAAAACTTTTTCTGCGGTATATTACCTAACATGCAGTTTAAATACTGTGCAGACTAATCAGTCGCCTTGCCTCTAATTGTGTCCCTCTCTTCCCATCCTTATTCTAGAGATCTACCAATGTTAGCTACTAAAATATGTAGACTATGTTAGCCTATGGTAAAATTCTTTAGTAGTTCCCTAGCATCTACTGCAAAAGTTGGTAAACTTTTTCTGTAAAGGGCCAGAAAGTAAATATTTCAGCTTTCACAGGCCCTTCTGTGTCTGTAGCAACTACTCAATTCTTGCCACTGTAGCCCAAAAGCATCCATAGACAATACTTAAAGGATTAGATGTAGCTATGCTACAATGAAACTGTATTTATGGACATAGAAATGTGAATTTCATTTCATTTTCACATGCCACAAAATATAATTTTTTTTTTTTTTTTGAGTCTCACTTTGTTGCCCAGGCTGGAGTATAGTGACTTGCTCACAGCCACCACAGCCTCGACCTGTTGGGCTCAGGCGATCCTTTCGCCTCAGCCTTCCAAGTAGCTGGAACCCCAGGCACACACCATCACACTCAGCTAATTTTTTGATTTATTGGAGAGATGAGGTCTCGCCAACTTGCCCATGATGGTCTCGAAACCTTGGGCTCAGGCAATCCTCTCGTCTCAGGCTCCCAAAGTGCTGGGATTACAGGCTTGAGCCACCATACCCAGCCTTATAATTATTTGTTTAATTGCCAAGCATTTAAAAATGTAAAAGCCATTTTTTGCTTCCAGGTCATGCATAAACAGGCAGTGGGCCAGAGGTGGTTTTACATCAAACACAAGACTAATTTTGGCTTCATCTTCCCCCATTCTCTACTCTAGTCATTCCAACTAGTGTGATTGGACCATGTTCTCTTTCCCTTGTGCTTGGGTCTCTTCACTGCCACAGAGGGATAGCAAAGTATGTGGCCCAGAGCATTGATTAAAATATACTGAAGTAAAAATGAATTCTTTCTTCTTTATCCTCAGTGAAACTTGTGCACCTCTCTGCCTACCTTAACTTACAGTTCATAATTAGAAGACACCTAAAACATCAATAAAACCAAAACTACTGAAATTCTACACAATTTAACAGTCTAAAATGTCTAAAATAAAGGCTTCTACAAAGCCAATGGCTTGCAGTAAAATCTAAAGCTATCTCACCTGCTCAGAAGACGTTCCTGCTTATTTTTGGTTCTATATTACCTTAAGGTTGAACATGCAAAGAGTTGAGAAATCAGCTAAGTATGTGATTGGTGGAGGAAAAGATAACTTTATGTATAATAATTTACTTTCTTATTTTAATATTCTATTCTGACTTAAGGAAATGGCTTTCAGTATGAATTCCTGATAACTCCAAGATTGTGACTGCCTCAAAAAAAACCATACAGAGGTACTACAATGGCTTCCAACGGGGTCCCTGTGAGCACTAACTGCTTGGTAAATGAACCTCTGGAGATTTCGGACAACGTGGGAGAATAGCTTTGGAGTGTCTACCGCTTTGCGTCCGACAGGAATGATTTCCGGAGGAAGTTGATCCTCAATTTGGGACTCTGCTGCGGGAGTTTGGCTAGCTAGGAACTTGAGTGACACTGACTTTATGGCACCTCAGCCAGGGGTGTAGTCAGCCAAGGAGACAAATGAAATTCTATGCTGTACCAGAACCACCTAAAAACAGAGCCTATGATCTGTAACCACCACAAGATATGCCCTGATGGCAGCTGAAATTTGGTTCAGATGGGCATCTTCCTTTTCCCTGTGTTTTCCTTTAGTTCCTTGCATCCACTCAGAAACTCCATTCTCTGGTCAGCAGTCAGGCTTAAGCTAAAACTTTGCCTCTGTTTGTAAAATTCTGTACATAGTTCCTAAGTTTCTGCAGGGGGTGATCTTTACTCTTGTACTGAGAAATAACAATGGTGTTTTAACAAATATCTGAAATAAAGACTGCACACACAAAAAAAAAAGAAAAAGAAAAAGAAAAAGAAACCCATACAGTACTCCAGGTCTACAAAATCAGATCGACTGCTCTTTTATCTTCTATGTTAAGATCTTTTATATGCCAAGGCCTTATAATAAAGTATGGATTGGGGAGGAAGAAAGGGAAGGAAATTCTCCTCAATAAAAGTAATTTGACAAAGCCTTGTGAAAGTATATAAAGAAGCCAAGTGAAACCATAAAGACTGAAAAGGCAAGTCACAACCTACAAGGTACCTGCAAGGCCTAGCATAGCAAGACCTTGTTTCCATTAAAAAGATTTAAAAATTAGCTAGGCATGGTAGCATAGAGGCTGTAGTCCCAGTTACTCGTGAGACTGAGGAAGGAGGATCGTTTGAACCCAGGAGTTCAAGCCTGCCATGAGGTATTATCACACCACTGCACTCCAGCCTGGGCAACAGAGTGAGATCCTGTCTAAAAAACATAACAAATAAATAAAAATAGAAGGTATCTGTAATATATATAATTGGTAGAAATGTGGTATCCAGCATAGCATATATATAAAGGACTGTAATAGTACAATAAAAAAGGACAAACAATTCAACAGAAAATGGGCAAAAATCATGAACAAGCTTTTATAGTAAACCAAACTAATGGCAAATAAACATACAAATCTTAAGACTACAATGTGATTCCATTTTATACCAACCCAGATGTGCAAATACAAGAAAAAAAAGAATCTGATCATGTCATGGGTTGGCAAGGGTATGCGCAGAAAATGTTTTTATAATGCTGTGAGAATGTATATTGAGGGAAAAAAATGTCACTACCTACTGAAACTGAAAATGCACATCATGACCCAGCATTATGAGGAATAAGTCACTATCTCTTACATTAAAGGAACATTTTCCAGATGTATTTCACTATAAGTGGGCCCTAAAAAATATCTTGTGAGACTCTTTCTTATAGAATGCTATAATGCCTCTCAGTATACAACCATTTCATTTAGTTGTAATTTGTGCTTTATGATCTGATTATCAGTATCACTGATACTGATTATCAGTAATATGATTACTATGGCAAAGGAGAACAACAAATTATGTAAATACATTACATAGTGGACAAAAAAAAAAAGTCAGCAAATTGTATTCAATTCAATCCAGATGCATGCTCTTCTAAGACTATAACTTAAATCATTTGTTTTTTCCAAGTCAAATGTATAATCCCCATTTAAGCTTTGCAGAGAATATTAAAAGAGAAAGAAGAAGCTTTGACTATAAAATTCTTGTTGTCTAGAGAACAAAATATTCATTATTGTAGATTTTGTACTTGACACAGTTTTAGTGATCAGTATTTCCTCCAAATCAAAGTGAAAAGATATTGCAAACAATCAGAAAAACGACATCTAGTGTAGCTGTTTTACTGGTTGGTTTCTTTCTAATATTCTGCACTTGTATCAACAGTGGGAACAACAAAAACATTAAACATCCTTAAGTGAACACCAATTTATATCTTCTTCCTTCACTGAAAGCTCTAGAGCCAGCTAGAATATATTGCTCTTGTTTCCTTTCTCCTTTTTAAACAGTTTATCTTTGTGCAATATTCATATTAAAGCACAACAGTTTCAGACTGTTTTTAAAAAAAAAAACAAAACAGAAATGCTATTTATTTTTTTACACAACCCACCCACAGCTGTGGTCCCAGCTACCTGGGAGGCTGAGGTAGGGGGATCATTCAAGCCTAGGAGTTCGAGTTCAGCCTGGGAAGCATAGGGAGACCCTGTCTCTAAAAGAAATAAACAAAAAACTCCCTCTGTTTTGCCTGTTTGCTAAAATTTCAAACTATCCTCAACCCAACAATTTAATTTAATCATTGAGATAAATAAATACATCTTTATTATTAAACCAAACATACAAGAAACTGAAAGTTAAAGGAAATTCTCAATAATTAATTAGGTAAGAACAGAATATCATGAGAAAATTGAAAACCTGCTATCTTAGGTAGCACCAATTCCACTTTGGTCAATTAGGGTCTCATAATTAGGTTAATTCCAATTCTGTTGCAGGCACAAAAGGAAAAAGAGGTCACAAGAATTCGCAAACTGAACAAGTCAATCCATGGACATCTATATTTATTTGGCTGTTCTTAGCATAGCAGAAAATCCTACATTTTAAAAAAAACAGCATCTTGCTTCTGACACTAGAAAAGGCAAAATACTATAACATACCTACTAATAGTATATTATTCAGGGAATAGTTTCCTAACTAATTCAATTTTAGATTATCTAATCAAATAAAATACATTGTTAAAAATTACCTCAATTAGATTATAATTTTACAACCACCAGTGATAACTTTTCTTAAATGTGTCTATTTATAATCTAGTTCCTAGAAAATACATCATATTGGATAAAATCATTCTTTGATGAGAATTTAGTATGTTACTAAGTATTATCATTCTATCATCTTATTTAATAAGGACATTCTACTTGACTAGTAAATCTATACTACTTAAAAATAAAGTAAGCCGGGCTCGGTGGCTCAGCCTGTAATCCCGCGCCTTTGGGAGGCTGAGGTGAGTGGATTGCCTGAGCCCGCGGGTTCGAGACCCGCCTGGGCAGCGAGACCTCATCTCTACAATAAAGCAAAAAATTAGCTGGGTGTGGTAGCACGCGCCTGTAATTCCGGCTACTTGGAAGGCTGAGGCGGAAGGATCGCCAGAGCCCAGCAGGTCGAGGTTGCGGTGGCCGGGAGCGGCCACTGCACTCCAGTCTGGGCGACAGAGTGAGACTCCAACTCAAAAAAAATAAAAAATAAAAAAAAATAAAGTAAACTAGCATGGCTAAAATCCAGAACAATGACAATACCAGATACTGGGCAAGGAAGTGGAACAATAGGAACTCTCACTTACTACTGGTGGGAATACAAAATAGTACAGCCACTTTGGAAGACAGTTTGAAAGTTTCTTACAAAACTAAACATACTCTTATCACAGGATTCAGTAATTGCCTTTGTATGTACCCTAAAGGAGATAAAAACTTAAGTCCACACAAAAACCTACACATGAAAAAAGAATTAGCTATAAAGTCATGAAAAGACATGGAGGAAACTTGAGTGTATGTTACGAAGCGAAAAAAGCCAATCTGAAAAGGCTACATACTATATGATTCCAACTATATAACATTCTAGGAAAGTCAAAACTATGGAAAAAAAAAAAAGATCAGTGGTTTCCAGGAGTTGAGGGGAGGGAAGGATGAATTGGCAGAGCACAGAGGATTTTAGGGAAGTGAAAATACTAAACACGATACTATAATGGTGGACACATATCACTACACATTTGTTCAAACCCACAGAACGTGTAACACCAAGAATGAACCCTAATGTAAACTATGGACTTTGGGTGATAATGATATGCCAATGCAGATTCATCAATTACAACAAATGTACCATTCTGGCGTGGGATGTTGACATGGGGGAAGCTATGCATGTGTGGGGGCTGGGGGCAGATGGGATATTTCTGTATCTACCTCTCAATTTTGTTTTGAACCTAAAATTGCTCTAAAAAATTAAAGACTTTAAAAAAAGAAAGAAAGAAACAGCTGGGCACAGTGGCTCATGCCTGTAATCCCAGCACCTTGGGAGGTGGAGGCAAGAGGACTTCCTGAGCCCAGAGGTTCAAGACCAGCTTGGGCAACTTGGCGAGACCTTGTCTTTACAATAAATCAAAAAATTAGCTGGGTATGGTGGTGCGCACCTATAGTTCCAGCTACTTGGAAGGCTGAAGTGGAAGGATCACCTGAGTCCAGCAGATAGAGGCTGTGATGGCCCTGAGTGTGCCACGGCACTTCAGCCTAGGTGACAGAGTGAGAATCCAACCCCCCCAAAAAGGAACCAGAAACAGAAAAAAATATATAAAGTAAGCAAATAAAGATATCAAAGCAGTCAAATAGACTTCTAAACATTAACTCATAGAAAAGTATCTTTATCTCAAGACCTCAAGAAGTCCCCATCTGTTCTTGCTTTTGCTATAACATCAAGGTACACAAATTTATTAATTTTCAGGAGACAATTTATAATCAATTTATAATCTGTCAGGAGACACCTGACAGATACCATCTTAACCAAATGGCACAAATCAACACTATGTGCCTCCTGATACAATGCTCTAGGAGGGACACAGCATCACTTCTGGGGCACTCCTACCAAAAATGCAAAACTTCAATCTAGCAGTGAGGAAACAGAAACGAAACCAAAACTGAGGTATATACTATAAAATAATAGGCACATACTTTTTAAAAAAACTGTTGAGGTCATGAAAGAGAAAGAAACAATGAGGAACTGTTCCAGACTGAAAGAGTTTAAAGAGACATGACAACCAAATATAACACAAGGTCCTGGTTGGATCTGGAACCCAGGGGGTATTTTCTTTTTTTTTTTGAGTTGGAGTCTCACTCTGTCACCTAGACTGGAGTGTAGTGGCCGCTCCCAGCCACTGCAGCCTCGACATGCTGGGCTCCGGCGATCCTTCCGCCTCAGCCTTCCAAGTAGCCGGAACTACAGGCGCGCGCTACCACACCCGGCTAATTTTTGATTTATTGTAGAGATGAGGTCTTGCCGAGTTGCCCAGGCAGGTCTCGAACCTGTGGGCTCAGGCAATCCACTCACCTCAGCCTCCCAAAGGCGCGGGATTACAGGCTGAGCCACCGAGCCCAGCCCCAGGGGGTATTAATGAGACAAACTGGGAAATGTAAATGGAGTTTACGGGTTAGATTCTAACACTGAATCAATGTTAACTTTCCTATTTGGACAGCTGTGCTGTGGTTATGTGGAAGAATGTTCCAGTACTTAAGAAATACAATGAATAACATGGCATCATCACATCTGTAACTTACTCTCAAATAGTTAAAAAATGTCAACAGCTAGAGAATTGGGTAGTGGTATACAGGAGCTACCTGTGTACTGTTTCTGCAACTTTTGGGTAAATCTGCAGGCCCAAGTTTTTTTTAAATGGACAGTGTTTGGTTACATGAGTAGTTACTTTTCTGAAAACAGATTCCCTATCAGGTAAGTTCCGCCATACAAGTATAGTAATTCATACATCGTTGTCATATGTAAATTATCTCATCCAACTAAGTATCCTAAAAATCCTAAAAAGAGAAAATACCAATACAGTAGGAGTCACAAACAAAATAAAATATAACTCATCTTTCAAAAAAAAAATTTACAGATGTACCTGCATGCCATAGCAAATTCCAAGAACAGGCTTGCCAATAGTGAATATTGCTGGATCAAACCAGGGAGCATCTTCAGCATACACAGAATTAGGTCCTCCAGAGATGATAATAGCACTGCAGATTTAAGGAATAGAGTCAGTGAAGAATCTTCACCTGTTAATTTTTATACAAAGTCTATGCCCTCTCTCTCATACCACTGACTAGGACAACACAGATTCAGAGATTTTGTTATGTTTTTGGTACAATGTAGCAGATCCAGATTTTATCCCAGATAATCAATATCCTCCTACACAGCACTGTTATTTTTACTTTACTTTGTTTCAGTGCTTAAAAGTATATCAATTCAGCTGGGCTTGGTGGCTCAGTCTGTAATCCCATGCCTTTGGGAGGCTGAGGTGAGTGGATTGCCTGAGACTGAGGGTTCGAGACCCGCCTAAGCAACTTAGCAAGACCTCATCTCTACAATAAATCAAAAATTAGCCAGGCGTGGTAGCGTGCGCTGGTAGTTCCGGCTGCTTGGAAGGCTGAGGCAGAAGGATCGCCGGAGCCCAGCAGGTCGAGGCTGCAGTGGTCGGGAGCGGCCACTGCACTCCAGTCTGGGTGACAGAGTGAGACTCCAACTCAAAAAAAAAGTGTATCAATTCAGTCGGGCACCATGGCTCAAGTCTGTAATCCCAGCACTTTGGGAAGCCGAGATGAGAGGATTGCCATGGGCTCGAGAACAGCCTGAACAACCTGGCAAGACCTCATTTCTACAAATCAAAAATTAGCCGGGTGTGGTAGCGCGTGCCTATAGTTCCATGGAAGGCTGAAGTGGAAGGATCACCTGAGCCCAGAGGGTCGACGTTGGGGAGGCCATGAGCATGCCACTGCACTCCAGCCTGGGTGACGGAGTAAGACTCCAACTCAAAAATAAAAAAGTATATCAGTTCAGGCAGGGTCTGTAATCCCAGCACTTTGGGAGATGGAGGTAGGAAGATCGTTTGAGCCCAGGAGTTACAGAGCAGCCTAGGCAAAATAATGAGACCTTTGTCTCGACAAAAAATTAGCCAGGCGTGGTGGCGTGCACCTAGAGTCTCAGCTACTCGAGAAGCTGAGGCAGAAGGATCACCTGAACCCAGGAGGTTAAGGCTACAGAGAGCCATGAGTGTGCTACTGCACTCCAACCTAGACGACAGAGTGAGACCCCAATAGGCACAAACTTTCAGATGGATAATACCGATGTTTCTATCTGTGAAAGTTAGCATGCATGAATTTGTTTTGTTTGCTCATCAACAGAAGAAGTAAATGAGAAATCTGGAGATGGAGAAAATATAGGTCTTCTGAGAGCGCAGGAGTAAAGAAGGTCACAGAAGACAAGTGAAGGCATCGTGAAGGCCCTGGATAGCTCAGAGAAAAATACTCTACAACAAAGGATGGCACAACATGAAGCGTTACATAACTTCACCTATTTTTGTTTTGTTTTGTTTTTTGAATTAGAGTCTCACTCTATCGCCCAAGCTGGAGTACGGTGGCACGCTCACGGCCAGCGCAGCCTCAACCTGCTGGGCTCTGGAGAACCCTCCACCTCAGCCTTCCAAGTAGCCAGAACCACAAGCACTCAC